ACAGAAGTCTGAAATTCGGATCATCAGAATAAATTGATGATCCACAAATAAGTCAACCAAGAAGTCCGAGTGCACAAATTAACAAAATTACAGTTCAAAAACATCGGCAAAACTGGAATTTGCCTGAACATTTCATGGAAAAAAAAGCATAAAAAACAAAGGAAAATGGAAAAACTTACAGGAGAAGGAAGAAGATGAAGAAAGGAAAGCCAGTTATTATTGGGTTGAGAAAATTTTATCATCAGTGGTGAGCTGCTTTTTCAGTCATCTCTCCTCCTATTGAAAGCCCAATTTGATTTTTCCTCATATTTTTTTCTCTCTCTCTCTTTGTTTCTCTCTCATGAATTAATTCTCGAGGTATAAATTGCATAACATACATATCAATCGCTCGATAATAACGCTCTCGTAAGCAGGGGCGGATGGACATTAAGGCGAGCCTGGGCAATTGCCCAGGCTCAATTTTTGCTGGTAAATACCATTTTTAATAGAATTATTGAGTGGATATGTTAAAATGAAGCTTTTGCCTAAGTTCAAATCTCAGCACAGAGGGCAACTGGGTAAGGATGAAGACGCAGGTAAGATTTCTCTAATTTTTTTAGCATCCCACAAAACGATTCGTTTTGGTCTTAATAAGTAAAAAAAACATGATATCTGCCTATTACGGACAGAGCCGCTGACATTAGGGAAATAAAAGGTTTAACCTTCACAAGATCACCATTCCCCAATATCGTCGCCCGTCGCCCAATCTTTCATTTTTATTGTACTATTGATTCAATTCCTGAAAACCTTCTTGCTCGAGGGACGGAGGGAGTCCCCAAGAATGCAACAGAAAAAGGCATAGGGGTTTCTGTCCATTTTTTGCCCAACACTACACAAAGGAAAACAAAAGGTTTGTTTGTGTGTGTGTGTGTGTGTGTGTGTGTTTATTTGTTTTCGGGGTGTTTTCCTTTTTAGCATAGTTGAATTGAATTGTGGAGATAAAGCTGATGAAGGTGGTCTGTGTTTTATGGAGATTCAGGGAAGTGTGAAACAGAATCCCAAATCTACAGGTCATCTGGGCTTAGGCTCGTAGAAGGTAACTGTAATTTTTTAATTTTTAGAACTATTAATATTGATTTTGTTTCATTTTACTTGTTTGTAATAAATTCAGAAATTTTTACCTAGTATTATTTTTCATTTTTTCTTTTTCCTAATAGTCATGTATGTGTTATGTCCCCTCTTGGCAAAAATTTTGAGCCCTTGGTGCCCCTGTCTGCACATTTTGTGTAATCACGTGAGGACCACATGATCCAAGAATGATAACCTGATGTTGTTGTCACGTGATTGAATTTTGTGGGGAGCCAGATGTATATTGCAGGGTTATAATTTGCCTTTCGGCTTTGTGATGCTAATTTATGCGATTTTAGATTTATGCGGTGAGGCTCGAGCTGTAGTGTCTTGAGTTAGTGAATTAGTGTTCTGGAAGAGCACAGAGCTCTACCTTATACACGCTTGTGGTGGAATAGTTCAATTGATTGTGTTCGTTTCTTGTTACGACAAGGTCGCTTTTCGTGGTCTTGATGAATCTGAATTTTTAAAAAATAAAAGAAACTTTCTTGAACTTTTGGAGTTTCTTGCTCAACATAATGATAGTGTTAAGGATGTCGCCTTTGAAAATGTACCCAAAAATCTTCAGTTGAAGTCACCTAGTATACAAAAAGACATTATAAATGCAGTTGCTATTGAAACTAAAAGATTGTATTTTTTTTTTTAAATTGAAGTGAATTTTTTTAAAAAAATTAAGTATTTATTTTCTCATATTGCCCTGGCTGGAAAAAAATTCTGTATCCGCCGCTGCTCGTAAGCACATGTTAATATGTTTACTGTTTATGGTAATTTTTTATAAATATTTTAATATCATCAATATTTGCATTTCACATAAGCAGTGAACATATTAACATGTGTCACCCCGAATAGAGGAACAAACTCATCAATCACTATATTTATGACATACAAAAAAATAATTATTATTAACCAAAAAAGACAGAAAATTAATATGACTAAAAAAAATTGCATATAATTATATAAATGTTGTTGTGTGTGATCATGTAAGGCGAAGAAATAAATTACTTAACAGAACAAGTCATTCGTTAGCTCGACTAGATTTGTGAGAGTCGAGCTCGAGAATTGAAATTTTTAAATTATATTTGTGTGGTCCGACTAATTAAAGCTCAAGTATAATTTTTGAATATTTGATAAATTGGTCTCATTTAGTCAATTCTTCATGACTTGGGCTCTTTGAAATTTATATGTAATTTTTTTCTTCTTTTTTTTTTACCGTTCGTGTTATTAATAATCATGATCTAACTCGTGTGATAATGAGCCTAGCCTTTTAATCAACCAAACACAAGTATAGCTATGAATTGTGATTTTGCTGACTCAGCAAGAGTCGTTATTAGACACATTAAAAGTGAGAAAAATTAAAAACAAAATGACAAACTTAAGGCAACTTTTCGGAATTGTTTTTTGTCGACAATTTCTCTGTCCCGCTGTCTTTTTTTTTTTTTTTAACGAAACGATAGATTAATATTAAAACAAAAACACAAATTACAAACTAGATCAATCAAGATAACTGAAAACCAGCTACTAAGCTGAATCTAGAGGAGGACAACCCCGACTGCTAATATCAGCTAATATAGCATACAGGCATCCTAAAGCCGAGACACCATCGAGACACCAAACTAACGGAAAAACAAACACAAGAGCTCCAACTTGTGGAGAATCAAACCCGTTGACTCCTTGTGGAGAATCGAACCCGTAGGCTCCAACGGGTGAAGAAAAGAGAAGAACAAACACCCACAAAACAACACACACTAACTACAAACAAACAAACGAGGCACCAATCTACAAACTAAAAAACACACACCTAGTAGAGTAAGCCCTCCCCTACTACAGGCAAGCACACCGCAGCTACCACACCATCCGGCACTCGATCCACAAAAATAAATCCAATCCAAAGTCAGAACAACCCAGAACAGCAAATCCAAGCCCCAGAGCCAAAAACTCCAACTCCTCGAGCGGCTAGTCGGATCTGGCGAGGAGTCAAATCTCAGCCTAGATCCGAGTTCCGGCAGCGAACAAAATGGACGGGAGGAACAACAAACAGGTGAATCGAACCACAACACCGACGGGCCCAGCCCATCACCAAACAGAGACCCCAAAAGGGCCGGAATTCAATCGTAGAGGGCTAGCCCGACCCCAAAACACTGCCCGAAAACAGTCCCGGCGGCAGGATGGAGACGAGAACACACGGTGGCCGAAGATGGAGGATGGAGACTGAGAACCGACACCACTCTGCACCACAATTCTCTGTCCCGCTGTCGACAATTGTGTTTTTGGTTTTTTATTTTTGCATTAAGCAATTAAACATTTATTTTTTATTTTATTTTATTTTTTTTTTTTTGCTATTGTTTGCTAACTAAAAAGCGTACACATACAAATAAATATTATACATTCTTATTATATGTATGTATATAGTATTTGAAGTTATAAGTTAGATAATGAGTATATCACATTTTAAAATATTGACAATAAGTAAAACGTAAACAATGTAAATATAAATTGTTTAACTTACAAATTTACATATGAATTACTATATTTACGGCATAATTTTATAATAAACAAATCAATATTCGTATTAATAAAAGCACAATCCCATGTGGTTCAATAGTGTGTGTTTAACTGTTTAAAATGTCTATATATTGAAATTTATTGATTTATCCACCACTTAAAAAATATTATTCATTCTGTTTCGGCTAATACTTTTTCATTACTACGCGTTAGTTTGTAAAATTTACTATTCGATAACTCACGTGTCTATAATTATCAATTATTATTTTATTAGTTTTCCTATATATCTCATCACAATTAACTACTACTTTTTTATATTATATTATTTTACATAAAAGAAAAAAAAAATTGTTAACATTGCTATTAAGTATTAATTCTATTTCACCAATGCCCAACATAAAATTCTTCAATCAAATTTAACAAATCGCACCCAAACACTTCAAATAAAAGAGATAATTATTTATTTATTTGGTTAATTTCTCAAGAAATTTGGAAATTCTATTGTCAACTTTTACCCAAAAAAAAAAAAAAAAAANNNAAAAAAAAAAAAAAAGCGTACACGTGGATATAACTGAAAAAAGGAAAAAAAAAAAATGGCGTATGCTTTGGTGTCACGCTGTCATTCCAGGCTTTTGAAAAGTGGGTGGGCCCAGTGGGCCCAGGGTTGTATTGGACGGTGCTTTTGATGGCCGTCCATCCGCTAGCCGTCACCAATAGGGCTGTCGACGGAAATTTTTTAGGCCCACATGAATCTGTAAGTTCACCTTATCTTTTTTTTTTGAGAAAAAAAATATATATATATATATATAATTTATCACATGAAATGAGTGTTAGCTTATAATTTTGTTTCAACCACAAAAAAATAATAATTATTAGTTACCTAATATTCCTTTGACAATTAGATATGTTATCCTTGCAGGTTCACTTTTGGAGCTCAAAAGAGAAAATTGAAATATTTATCAAAATATTTTTAATATGTCATAACCACTTAAGATTTTTTGTAGGAAAAATATAATTTTATTGGATAAAAAAAAGTTTGCATATAATATCAAGCCATATTAAAAATGTCATATAATTAGTTTGAACCATTAAAATAACATATGTGATTTGTTCTCTAAAAATATTTTCAAATTCTTATCATATTCCGGTTTATAATAAAATTTTGGCTGGTACAATCTAACCAACAGGCATGTCGATTATATATTTTTTTGGTACAATAAAGGAGGCCAATAAGCCTAGGCTAGAACTTGCCGGGGATACGACACCCCGATATTATCATGCATGAGCCATTCTACCACTCCCAACGGAGGGGATGAGAGCCAGTGTAGTCCGAGTGGATAAGTAGCCGCCAAACTTGCTAGAAAATCCGCCACGAAATTTGCCTCCCTATGAACATGCTGAACTCGAACAGACCAATCCCTATGAAGTATTTCTTGAACCGCCCGAACCAAAGCCCCATGATGTCCTTCAGAACTCTCCGTGTTGACAACCATGTTCGTTGCGCATTGACTATCAATCTCCACAATAACTCGCCGATGTCCCCGCTCCCACGCCAGTATCAGACCCTGAAGAAGCCCCCAAAGCTCAGCTCCCGTTATCGTGCAGGCCCCAATGTTCATAATAAATCCCTCGATCCAACGACTCCTCTCATCTCGAATCAAACCTCCCGCACTACTCAAGCCCGTGGAGTGATTAAAAGCTCCATCCGTATTAACTTTAACCCAACCCGTGTCCGGAGGTGTCCAACGAATCAATCGAGTAACATAAGTTGCAGCTCCAATCTTCGTGAGAGAAGCAGCCGCTCGAGCATAACTTTCCGTAAGATGTATGACCTCCTTCATCCTTGCTTCTCTACTCGATTATATATTTGCAACAAAGTACATACTTATTGTATGAAGTGAATGATTTTATTTATAATGTGGTATATTAGTTTAAAAACGTAAATATTCATTGAAAAATTGTGTGACTGTTGGCTATACCAATTTGTGTTATATTTAAAAATATTGGAACCCTACTAACAAATAGCCCAAAATTGCCTTTTTGTCATATGAGGTAGTTAATGTTAAGTGATGCACCTAATATATATTTTAAAAATAATTAATATATATTATGGTGTCGTTTATTTCGCGGGATAGGACAAGATAACTAACTTAATCTATGTTTACTTTAAAGGAATGGGATGGGATTGGTGTGATCAATGTGGCATACATGTGGCTGTGGGTCCCACCCTAATATCAGTAACTGGCCGATTAAATGTATCCCGTCCTCCCCCTCGGATATTTTTATCCCATCTTTGGTATGACCACTTTACCCTTAAATTATGACATGAAAGACTAAAATAACCCCCTTTGTTAATATATTTACATGTTTGTCCCATATAAAATTTTGAAAACGGGCCATTTGCAGAATTTCTTGCACACAGAAGCTTGTGTATCGGGGGAGAAGCACAGACACGAGATTGAGCTCCAACAATTAATTTGTGATTTTCATTTCCCAATTAAGAAACCATATCCGGTGTTGTCGATTATATTGGATTCGTGTATTGGTAATTGATTTTTTATTTTCAGAGTTTATTTTTGCAGAAACCCTAGTCTTAGACAAAAGTAAATCTTGCGCCGATTGATTCGGTTTTCGTTGTGGGTGAAGGTAAAAAGGGTACTCTGTCTGAAGTTGATACATGATACCCATTTTTGTATGTCTTAAATTCAAAATTGAGGCTTTTTGCATCAGCCCTTTTGTTGTTTGTTCGTCAGTTTCCATTCTTTTTTTTTAAAAAAAAAAAATCAAAATATAATTTTTGTTGTGTTGGTCAATTGAATGATAACACAACTGGGCGAGATTCATACGGGTAAAGGAGGGTATATGAGTCTTTTGTTTGTATCCTATCACATAGTCCATGGAAGTAAATGAGGGATTTTTTTCACAAAAATTAATCACACAATGTAAACAAATAAACAATGCACTAAAAGCTAACGTGTAAAGTTGTCTGGATTATTTTGTCTAATATGTCCTTCAAAATAAACGAGGCTTATATATATATAAATATATTATTAACTGTCTTTTAATTATTTTATTTTGATTTTTGAATAATATATTAGAAAATATGTTTGCTGATTACGGCAGAGTTGCAATACAAGTTTGCTTGGTCCAAAATTAAACATTACTAAAATCGATGAAGTTTGGTAAGAAATGGACACCTTTCCAAATTCCAAATAAGCCTGCTAAGTGGTGGCTATTATTATTATTATTATCATCATCATATTGTTTGGGTTGTTTGATTTTTAAACTATTAACATGTGATTAAGCAAAATAATAATAATTAACAATTAAAACAACACAACCCATTAAAATTTTGTAATGGTTTTTTATTTCAGAAAAAAAGACAGGTGCAATTGTTTGGTGAAGGTTATATGCCTTGTATTATAGTTTAGTTATAATTAACTTCAATATTTGTTGTATTAAATAAATTATCTTTTTAAAAAGAGCCTAAGACCAGGGCGAAACCAGAAATTAGTTAAGAGGGGGTAAAAGACACGACATAATGGGTTCAGAGCTGATACCGAACTGATAACATTTCGGTAGCCAATTTTTGGTTACCGTTACACATAAGTCGGTTCAGTTCTATTTATTTTCTTATCGGTTCGGTTCCGTTCGATTTTTTTGTTTTCGGTCAAAAAATATTAGCTTTGGCAATAAAAGAGAGTTGAAATCTTTTATACGGGCCAATTAAAATTATAGAAGGATAATAATTAATATACAAAATCAATAGTAAAATAAAAAAAAATGTTGAATTGTTAATTGACAATTGTGGACAAATTGTTATGATGGTGACGTTTAAAAAAAAAAAAGAAGGGATGCAAAAACAAATTTAGGGGGGGAGAGAATTAAAATTTGTAATATTAATAGTAAATAAAAATTAAAATTTGAGGGGGAATTAAAATTTATAATATTTGTTAGAATATCATTTGTGAGTTGTCTCACATCGTTCATACATGGAAAATAGATTCACCTTATAAGTTTAATGGGTTACTCCTCCTTCCACCAATTGGTTTTGGGATGGAACTCCATTGGGCTTCATATGGATTTTTTCCTTCTCATCATTTTCTCAGAAGCCCGTTCGTCATTATGCAGCCGACCCGTTTGAAAAAGGAGTATAATTGAATCAATTTGTCGGTTAAAAGTTCGAATTCATTTGTGTTTGAATAATTTAATAAATAATTTTTTTAGAATAAATAATTAATTCAAAATTTGTTTCTTTGAATTCGTTTATAGAGATAAAATGTAGTACGAATGCAATTATTTTGTGTCAAAAGTTGTAAATACACAACTTCTCAAGATAACATGTAAACCATCTTATGTAGAAAATATCAACAATATAAACCACATGACTAATTTATTACAAATTACTTATTATCAACTAACAAGTAATAAACAACGGGAGATTCTATGATCCCGTTACGAAACAATTCCGTCAGAGTTTGTAACCAATAGATCAACTATTCATAACGATTGCGTGATGTTCTAACGGTTAAAAATTTCGACGAAATGGTTCCTCAAAGGAAATGTAGCATTTACTAATAACGGTTGAGTAATAAGTAATATCCGTTATCAACTACTACAGCGTAACTAACTCAGTCACTTTTTAGTTTTTACAGCGCTCGTGTTTCAAAACGACGCCGTACTTAGCTTCTCTAATCCGCCGGCGAACTGGCCTCACGCGCTTCGGTCCAGGCGTTCTCGGCCACTGACCCGACCCAATCAGCTAACTAAGCGCTTGAATCGGGAAGATATTGATCGCGAACAGAGGCGAAATCTCGTGCAGATTTATCCGCACCGCCCGGAGATTGAGAATTCGAGCCGTCGCCGTTTACAGCGACGCCGACGAGCGCAGCTTTCATGTCAGGCTGACCGATGAATTCGTTCTCATCGGACCTCCTCTCCCCCGGCTCGGCTGAGCTACCTGAGCTCCCCTTCAGCTCTGGAAGCTGCTTCACGAACCAGCGGCCCAGGTTAAACCTATATACTGATTTGTTATTTTAGTTTTATTTTTTTGCCACTTTTTTCACTGTCATTTTTGGTACTCGCTAGTATATACTCTTCCTGGGGGGCTTAGTGATTTTTCATGCTCGATTTCTAGCTGTAAGTTATCTCTATATGAATAGAATGCCTAAACTGTCATGGGTTGAGTACGAATTTTCGATGTAATGTAAATACATGTGATTGTTTGCATTTACAGTAAGGGCTCAATTCGGTGTTTGTCGTGCAGTGATATTGTGGTCAGCTCATGTTTACCAGTGTTCGTGTTGGGAGCTTAGTTATTATCAGTGCTCAATTTCTAGTTGTAAGTTATCTTAAGATGAGTAGAATGTTTCTAAACTGGTGTGGTTGAGTACGAATTTTCGGTGTAATGTAAATACATGTGATTCTTTGTATTTACAGTAAGGGTTCAATTTGGTGTTTATCGTGCAGTGATATTGTGGTCAGCTCATATTTATCAGTGTTCGTGTTGAGAGCTTAGTGATTATTAGTGCTCAATTTCTAGTTGTAAGTTATCTTAAGATGAGTAGAATGTTTCTAAACTGATGTGGTTGAGTACGAGTTAATGGTGTAATGTAAATACATGTGATTCTTTGTATTTACAGTAAGGGTTCAATTTGGTGTTTATCGTGCAGTGATATTGTGGTCAGCTCATATTTACCAATGTTCGTGTTGGGAGCTCAGTGATTATTAGTGCTCAATTTCAAGTTGTAAGTTATCTTAAGACGAGTAGAATGTTTCTAAACTGGTGTGGTTGAGTACGAGTTAACGATGTAATGTAAATACTTGTGATTCAGTGTATTTGCAGTAAGAGCTCAGTTTTGTGTTTATCGTGAAGTGATATTGTGGTTAGCTCATAGATATGAATGCTTGTGCTGTTTTTATCTGTTCATGGTATAGATTATCTATTTTTTATATTTATGGAGAATACTTTCGGAGTATGATAATATTTTTTGTTGAGAACTTCAAAAACCCACTTATTGATACACATGAAGATTACATCTTCATTGATCTGAAAATGCCCCAGCTTAAGTTATCTATCTAGCCATTTTTCCCTATGGTAATGCCTATTATATTTCTTGGAAAATTACTAATCCTGTAACCCGTAATCTTCCAGTCCAGATTGAGTGGGAAGATGAATCTATCAAGGGTGGCCTAAAACTTCCTTATTTCTATACAGGAAATATCTAGGTGAGGTTGTTTGGTGCTGTCCTCATATGTAGCTGAATTAGTTTTTGGTTTTGAATATTCTCTGGATATTTTAGTGTAACTATTTCAAGAACTATTTAACATGCATTTTCAGATTGGAAGAAACAGTTCTTTATGATCTTGAGCTGAATGTGGTGCACTTAATGGACCCTTTTTTTCTTCTTTTACTCGATATTAAGCAAATGAAATAAAAGTTCGCTCTTTGACGGTTTTCTCTTACACAAATTCATAGTATGAATGATGAGTGCATTGCAGGACCAAGTTCGATCTTTGACGGTTCCATTAGCGGCCTTACTGTCTCTCCTGACCAGTAAGTTTTTTTGATGGTACTAAATTGTTCCGTGGTGATCCATGCTAATAAGTAATAATCATTTTCCTGTTCGACTTCTTTATCTAGAAAAATGAAAATACTGTCATAAACTTACGAGTGTTTTTTTTCGTTTTTTAATTTACAGAGAGCACTGGATCAACTGTCTTTTGAACTTACAGATGAAACTCTGAGCTTTTTTCAGTTTCTGTACAAATATTCTTCTAATAAGGGTGTAAATTTGTGGGTGGGAGACTTTGTAGTTAGTCTATGCCTCCTAGTGCATAGTTTCATAATTCAGTGATTAATGTATGTTGATGAAAGATTACTACTGCATACTCGAAAAATGTAAGAACTTTCCAAGTTTGGTTGTGATAAAAAAGGTGATATTCTTCAACAGCAGTGGAATTTTCATGTGTAGTTGTTGGTTTACTTAGATGTTTTTGTTGTATATAGAAGGTTGGTTTCGTAGCAAAAATGTATACTTAGATGTCTTTGTTATATAATAATTAAACTTTAATAAGTGGTTTTCTTACTCACTCCACCAGGTGAGGAGATAACTCTTTTTAGTGGTATCCACATTTTTTTTTTTTTTTTTTTTTTTTTT